TCTGCGTGGAGGGGCCATGGAGGAAGCCCATCCCAGCCTCGCCCCAGCGGCCCTTATAATCATAGGTGGTCACTGTGTCCCTGGGGGTCAGGGCTCTTTGCAACTCACCGTCAGGGTGTGAGTGGGAACCTCAGTGCATGGGGGACAGCGAGCCCCGGAGCCACCTGGAGGCTCTGGTTGGCTGGTGTCCCTGTGTCCCTGTGGGCGCAGCGCCCGAGAGCGTGTGAGTGCAAGGGCATCTTTTGACGTGAAAGTGGATGCCTGGGGACATGGGACACGTCCTCATGGCCACTGACCATCCCTCCTGAGCGCAGTTGATGTAACACTTCCCCAAGAGGTGGCCCTGGGCTTGTCATTCCCGGGACCCCCCGGGGGCCATTCGCTGTGACAAAAGCAGTGGGAGAGAAAGGGCTTTGCGTGGCAGGAGCCCGCGCCGTGTGACGACGGGAAGGCCCCTCGTTCATCGTGCAGGTCCAGCTGCGGCTGAGAGGGCGCCCTGACTAGACACGCGTGCAGCTGCAGTGCTGACGCATGGCCGGTGTCTCTCCTATGAACGATGCATGCTGTCAGCCGGGATGCTGGCGCGGCCCATGGGACATGTGAACTCTGGCCCGTGTCCCTCCAGAGAGTGGCAGCCGCCCCATTAGGCGTGGTTGGCTCAGTGAGAAGCACGCCAGGCTCATGGCGGATGTGCACTTTGGAGGCGAGGGCTGCTCTGGGGCACTGGGGGCTCTGAGCGTGGGATGGGCTAGGCCTTCCTTCTAGGCCCCAGTCCCGTGAACAGGTCAAAGATCTGAAATGTGGGTTTTATTATGACTTGGGGGTGGCTAGGCTGATGCCCAGGGGCCGACTGTCCTGCAGAGACAGCCGATAACCACAGTTCCCAGAAGGAGGGCATTTGCCCCGCGGCCACCCAGGAAGCACCATTCAGCCAGCAGGCGGAGGAGGGCGCTGAGCAGGGACCGCGCTATCTCTGGGGAGGAGCAGCCCACAGGCCCAGTGGGCCTGAGTCATCTCGGAGGCTCTGGGGGGCTCCCGAGTTGGCTGGCACGGGTGACCAGGGCGGGGGGATGTCCCCCTGTCTTTGAGGCCAGTGGGGAGGGGGCTCTGGGTGGAGGTCACGCGCGTGTGACATGGCCTCATGGCAAGAATGCTTACTGTCGGATCGGCAGTCTCGGAGTCGGGGCACCTGGGTGTCAGCATCAAGAATGTGAAGGGGCACTGAAGCCGAGGCTGGACGGTAAGGAGTCCCTGCCCTGAGTGTGCCGGGCTGTACTGTGGGCAGTGCTGATGGGGTGGCACCTCTCCTACAAGGCGGGTGGAGGAGGCACAGGCCTGGCATCCAGGCAGATGAGCATGTCCTCACTGGTGAGAGACGTGTTTGAGGGTCCCCGCTGCCCGTATCTACCAGACCCCGTGCGAGGCCGCGTCCATCCCGGGGTGCCCTCCTCAGCGGGGCCCTCCGTGTAGCCGTGGGCACCCGCATTCTGCAACGCCAGGTGGAGCTCCGTGTGGGCACAGTCCTCGCACGTCTCCTAGGGAACACTGTGAGGCTCCCACAGGACACCCCTCCACGAGGCGTGGCCGCCACCAGAGCCCATGCGGGCAGAGTGCCTGCCTCCCACAGGTCACACTGTCACCTGCCGTGGCCGTGCCCACCATGTGACTCCGAGACTGGGGCCTCACCTGGTGTTGCTGAGGTGACACGTGCACTGGGGTGGCTGGATCTGAGTGTCCACGTGGTGTGGGTGCCACGTGTGTACACGGAGTCAGTGCCACAGAGGCCACCGTCACCCAGGGTTCCCTCCAACCTCGTCCCGCCCACAGGCAGCCGCTCAGACGTGGGCTGCGAGCAGAACCAGCTGGGTCTGTCGGGGACCCGTGTCGTCCACGTGGCTGCAAGGGCAGGCCACAGCGTGTGTTGTCCCCCCCTCCCATGGAGGGCACCGGGACTGCAGGGACACGTGGGCTCCTGATGGGCAGGGCAGCGCCTCACTTCCTGCGTGCCTGTCTCCCGTCCCTCAAGGGCGGTCACCGGGCATACTCCTAGGCGGTGCGAGGGAGCCTGTTGGCCGTGGTACGCACGCGCCTTCCCGGGAGTCACAGCGGGCACCTTCCGTCACCCCGTGGCCAAGATTGTTCTGTCCGTCGAACATGGCTGCGCCAGTGCGCGCCGGATGCGTGTAAGGGGCTGCCGTCGCGCCCCTCGATGGCCCCAGGATGCAGAGTGTCCGCGCACGTGCTTCCGGGCGATCGCGTGTTTCTTTGGTGAAGCTCCTGCTCCGCCCTTTGCCCACTTTCATGGACTTCTCCTCGTGCCGTGGGCCGCCTGGGCTCCTCACGCTGCAGATGCAGCGTTGGGCAGAGGTCTCGTCCCACATCTTCCCGAGACTTAATGTTCCCACGGATGCTCCTGGTGCCTGCCGAGGGCCGTCCCCTCCAAGGTCTGTCCTGCTGGATCGTGGCACGGAGTAGGCCTTGCAGCAGCATGGTGCCCTCACTCCGAGTCGCCGTGTCTGCACCCCTCGTGGCACAAGCTGCGTCACGATGACAACACTCTAGCCAGCAGCCGACTCGAGAGACTACGAGGAGGAAAACTTGTTTTTTTTTCCCCTTGGTCATCAACACTCCCATCTGTGTGTTCATGGGGCCCCTTCACCCTGTTGCAGGGCTCCTGTGTGCTCCCGGCGTTGAGGTCCCCGGCTCCCGTGTGCTCCCGGCACTGAGGTCCCCGGCTCCCGTGTGCTCCCGGTGCTGAGGTCCCTGGCTCCCGTGTGCTCCTGGTGCTGAGGTCCCCGGCTCCCGTGCCCTGGTACACAGGCCCACTGGCGATGGGTTGGTCAGAGAGCCTGTCTACAGGTGGAGGAGGTCTCACCCTTGTGCTGGGGGCGTATTTTCTCTGGATAAGGATTTCTGGATGAAGTGTTTCGTTTTGTTTTTTATTTTCCTCTCCTCTTAACCCCTCAAGTAAGACGTAGACACTGCTAACCCTGGTAAACATAACATCGTATCCGTCCTCCACCGCCGAGAGGCCGTGTGTCAGCGGCCCCGCCTACCTCTGGAGCCAGCCCTGTCCCTGTCCCTCCCGCAGGTGGCCAGGCTCTGAAGACGGCTGCCCCTCACCGGTCCCGCCCAGCGCTGTCACGGCGCGATGCCGTCCTGTGGGTCTCTGCACTCGCTCTGCCGGGACTGGCTGGGTGTCTGGAATCACTGAGTCAGCATGCCACCAGGCTGGGGGATTTGCAGACTCGTCCCCCATCTTCTCCCCTCCCTAAGGCCTAAAGACAGCACAGCTGTCCACAGACCCTGAGGCTCTGTCCTTTGGGCAATTGCCATCTCTGTCTCTGTCCCCACGCTCTCGAGCCCTTCCCCCTCCCACCCGCTGCCCCCCACCAGTGAGTTTGGGTTCCTCCTTTGTAGATTCCCCCTCAGCCGCTCTGTGGTCCAAGATGCGGCCTGGCTGCTGCTGCTGCTGCTGCCCGTCTCCCCGGCCTGCGGTGCATGTTTGTGCCCAGTGCCACCGTGTGGTACAGGGTCCTGACCGATCACCTGCTGTGAGGCTTCCCGCTGCGTTGAAGTCCTGGACAGTCTTGCCTCCTGCTGGACGCACGTTATGTGTTGCCACACATAGACGGCCTTCCGTCTCGGAGGGCCCGGCCCAGCCTCTGCCCTATGGTGGCGAGGAATGCCCTCCGAGAGCTCCAGGCGCCCCTGCCCAGGGCAGCGTAGAGGCCTGTGTGCAGTGTACCCCTCAGCACAGCCTGGGTTTGAGGCACCGTCAGACCCACCTCTGATTCCTGATCTCTCCACTCTGGGGGATTGTCACTCCCCTGACACCGAGGTCCAGCAGCTGGCCCAGGTGCAGAGCTGGGCCCCCACTCTGCCCCACGCTGGGACCTCGGGCACCCTGCTCTTGTCACAGGGTCTGAACAGCCCGCCGGTCTCCAGTCCCACTGCCTTGTGCCTTGGGAGGACTGGCCTGTCCTGGCACTGCACGCACAGAAGGATCTAGAACTTCTGCCAACATGAGGTAGCCACGTGCACACAGAAGTGCTGCCCCTCTCCCCACCCCTCTGCCCCAGGAACTCCAGCCCCTCCATGCCGTCTCCCTGGTGCTGCTGTACCCCGGCCACCTCAGAGACCCCGAGACAGGCCCTAGTTACAGAGCAGTGTGTCCTCGCTGTCAGGAGGCATGGCCACCCAGGAGCGGGCTGACCACGCTAGGTTATGTGGGCCTCAGTGCACCAGGGCCGCCTGGAGCAGCCACGTGCTCCCCCACGAGACCCGGCCACCTTCGGACCTAGCTCTAGGCTTGTGAACAGGGTACTTCCTGCCCATCCCTGAGGGCTGGCCTCCTGTCCGGCTTGCATAGTTGGCAGCGGGAGGCTGCCTGGCATGGCCAGGAAGCCAGGGCTTGTTTTCAGAGCAGGAGAAGAGGGCAGGGAGTCTGTGGACAGGACATCCCTGGCTGCCACCCACCCCCGTTCCCAGCAGGATGGTAGGCGTCTGTGGCTGCCCTCAGCCAGGATGACACTTCCCATGGGGAAGGCTGCAGAGGTCGCACGCACTCAGGGATGAGCCCTCACACGGCCTGCATGACGACCGTGTTGCATAGGTCGCTGCCCTCAGACCAGCCCCAGTAGCGGCTAGGCTCGAAAGCCGCGGGAAATGGCGGCAACCCTCCAGGTGTGGCCGTGCTGTCCCCTAGCACGTGCCACCCTCCCTTCCCAGGGCTGGGGACACTGGTGGCCCTTCCATGACAGCATTGCCACCTGGCCCTCTTCCTGGTGACAGCACGTGGTCGTGGGCCAGGGGACGTGCCTCTGTCCTGCTGCCTGGGCCCGGGGCACACCCTTGTACTATGGCTCTCCCTGCCCAGCATGACCCCGTGAAGACGTGGCCAGCAACGCAGGACAGTCACACAGCCCAGCCGGCCCCACGCGGCTCACGCTGCCTCCCGTTGCCGCGTCACCCACTCACGGTGTCTGTCTGGTGCCCAGGAGCACGGGTCCGGGACCTCCTGGAGGAGCTGAGGAGGTGGCCGGCGGAGCAGGCCCAGAGCCCCCCGGGACAGCAGGACATCACAGATGCTGTCACGCAAGCCGAGCTTGGAGTGGATCCAGGGGAAGCCGGTGGTGACCCCCCAGGAATGACGGGCAGCCTGGAAGCAGTACCGTGGGGACAGCGTTTACGAGGTGACTTTGGGCCCCTGAGCTGTGACGCTCTGGGTCAGCACTGCAGGGAGGACGTGGCACAGAGCTGTGGAAGGCCCTGGCTCACCGGGCGGGTGTCTCCCCACTGCAGGTGGGGTTTCAGTCGCGGGTTTTAGCCTTTGAACTGTGACCAGTTTGGGAAGAGC